AAGCCGACAGAAACCTTCGTCGACGAAGCGGCTCGACAACAAGAACAATGAAGGCGACGTGAGCATTGAAGGTTTGTTTAATTCGTTCTTTGTTTTCTTAATCGTAGGCTCAGTACTCGGTACTGCTCAGTACTCGATACTTCTCGGTACTCGGTATCGCTCAGTACTGCTCGGTATTCGGTACCGCTCGGTACTGCTCGGTATTGCTCGGTACCCCTCGGTACCAAGCGATACTAGAACTCAGTACCGCTCGGTACCGGAACTCGGTACCACTCGGTACCAGAACACGGTACCGCTCAGTACTGCTCGGTATAGAGGGGTACCGAATGATAGAGAATGGTACCAAGCAGTACCAAGAAGGTAGAGAAAACTTCAAAGCAACTCTTACAATAAAAATTTGTCGAACCCCGCCAGGGGGCAGCGCCCCCTTGGACCCCCAACATAGGAGCAAAATATCTATACTTTTAATTAAAAAATTCATGTTTCAAATTCATGTGGATTAATTTGTGTCGAACCTTCGTAAGATAATGAGCTCTGGTAGTGTAGGAATTAAGTATATTAATGATCCATCAGATACCAATATTGAAGATAACAAACCTATGTGGGGTTATGTGACAAAAATAGGTAAAACGTCAGAAGGGGTGGCAATATTGCATTCAAATGCAATTTTTGTAATGCCACATACAAAGGATCATATTATAGAGTGAAAGCTCATTTGTTGAAGATTTGTGATCATGAAATTAAAGTATGCCCGAATATAAGCTCATCACAAATGACTAAATTACAAAGAAAAATCAGTGAAGCTGAGCAAAGGAGTAAAAAATAGCTTCCAAAACATATTCCACTTCCAAGCACTCATGCTTCATATCCTACATCATCTTCTTCAATTAGAAGTGATGACAATATTGTAAATAAAGGGTCTTTTTCGAATGGAGGGATTTGAACCAAAAAAAAGAAAACATGTTGTAGATAGTGCTTTGGAGAAATCATTTAATTTACAAATGAGAGAACAACTAGATGGGAAAATAGCTAAAATGTTTTACTCAGCTAGACTTCCTTTTAACCTAACAAGGAATCCACATTAAAAGAATGTCTTTACCTATGCATGCAATAATAATCTTGCAGGATACGTGCCACCAGGATATAATATCATTAGAACAAAGTTATTGCAAAGAGAGATGGATAAAATTAAGAAGTTGTTCGAGCCTACTAGAGGAGTTTGTAAGGAAAAAAGTGTTACTTTGGTTTGTGATGGGTGGACAGATCCACAAAGAAGACCACTTATCAACTTCATGGCTGTAACAGAGAGTTATCCTATGTTTATCAAAGCTGTAAACTGTGAAAGACGATACAAGGATAAGTTCTTCATTTCTAATTTAATCAAAGAAGTTATCATGATAGTGGGGCCTTCAAACATCATCCAGGTCATTACTGATAACGCACCTATTTGTAAAGCTGCAAGTCTACTTGTAGAGCAAGCCTATCCTCATATTTTTTAAACAACATGTGTTGTGCACACGCTTAATCTTGCCTTGAAGAACATTTGTGTAGCTAAGAATACCGAGGCAAACGAAATCACCTATAATGAATGTCATTGGATCACAGTGATTGCTGGATATGCAGTTGTAATTAGAAATTTTATTATGAATCACTCCTTGAGACTCTCTATGTTTTCTAATTTGAAGATCCTTGCAGTTGCTGAAACTCGGTTTGCCTCAGTTATAGTGATGTTGAGAAGATTCAAAAAAATTAAGAATGTTCTTCAAGCTATGGTGATCAGTGACAAATGGTCCTGTTATAGAGAAGATGATGTTGGAAAGGCTGGGTATGTAAAGGAGAAGCTTTTTAGATGATTTATGATGGGATAAGATTGAATACATCTTAAACTTCACAGATCCAATTTATGAGATGTTGAGAGTAGATAATACGGATAAGTCTTATTTAGATCTCATTTAATGCTAGCCAAAGTAAAAGAAATTATATATAGACATGAGAGGAAAGCACTTCATGAAGACTTATTTATGCTTATTATAGAAGATAAGTCGAGCAAAAGTAATACACATTTACATTGCTTGGCTCACTCATTAAATCCCAGGTAAATTTCAATTTTTTTTCATTATTAATTTACAATTTGTTGTTTAGTAATTTCAACATTTTTTTTATTACTTTCTTTTAATATTCTTTGAAGATATTCAACTAAAGAATGGCTTCAAGAGGATCCTCAAAGAGTTTCTCCACAGAAAGATAAAAAATTTTCAAATATGAGGAAAACATGTTTGAAGTGTTATTTTCCAAATGAGGAGGAGAGAAGAAGTGTCAATATTGAGCTTGCTAAATTTTTTGTTATTTAGAAGACTTTGGTGACCAAGAGTCATTGTGTGATAGGTGGAGAATTGATCCAAAAATGTGGTGGATTATACATGGAGCTTCAGCACCTCTACTTCAAACAATCGCCATAAAATTGCTTGGCCAAATTTCATCCTCATCTTGTTGTGAAAGAAATTTCACATACTCGTCCATCCAATCAATGAAGAGAAATAAAATTACTCCACAACAGGTTGAAGATTTAGTTTATGTGCATACAAACCTTCAACTTCTCTCAAGGAAAACTCCAACTTATATGGAAGGAGACAACATGATGTGAGATGTTACTGAAGATGGATTTGAATCTCTTGAGGATATGGGAATATTAGAAATTGCTAATCTTTCACTTGATGAGCCTGAATTGGAAGCTATGATATTCATTGAAGATGATATAGAAATTCAAAGGCAAACCACTGAAGAAGCTAATCCTATCATTTCTTCTATTGAATAGTTGAAACTTCATATGTTGAACAATTTATGTATTTGTTTTTGTTGTTGTACTAGACATTTAAATATTTAATGCTTACTTTTATTTTGATATTATAAGATACAATGCTACAAATGATGTTGCTTTTAATTTTTTTTGTTATTTCAAATATTCTGCTTTGATTAATTTATTATTTTTTATGTATGATTTATATATTATAATGTCGTATCCGCGCCGTATCTGTATCCTATATTTTTAAGAATTGCCGTGTCCCGTATCCGTATCGGGTAAATGTAGTGCATTCCAAATACTTTTGAGGCTGTTTGGTTGTCTGCAATGTAAACGCATGAGAAATGGTTCCCATGTTTGGTTAAATATATCCAGAGTAAAGTAAAAACAGTGCATTTGTAATATTTTTTTGTCATTATAACTAGTGTAATTATAAAAATAATTATATATTTTTTTTAAATTATAAGATATAATATTCTGTTGTGTATTAATTTAGCAGTGTGCTGCAATAGACATAAATTTATTTGTAATTGAGAGAAATTTTAATTTTAATTTTGTGAAAGTATAAATTTTTAATTTTTCAAGTAATTTTTTACAAACAAAATTTCAGCAAATTAAATTTTCACACTGATTTTTTTCTTTAATTTAGCAATAAAAACAATGGTTTTCATTTAGTAAACAATAAATCACATGATTTTCATTCATAAGTTGTAAACAACATTAATGAAATTTTAAAATTAGAAAACAAAATATAAAACAAAATCCATTGTTCTTAGTTATAATTACGACAAAGTAACACGAAACAGTTATTAATGGGAGATTAACTATTGCTTTCTAATAATAGGATTGAAATATGACTTTAGCAAGAGTAACTCTTAATTATAAATTAAAAAATAATAATAATAATATAGTTCTTCGTATCTCTATTTTTGAAACTATAAATTCTAATGTAGATGAATTGCTCATGCAGCTCTATCTGACGCTATTTATTCTATTTTAAAATAGAGGTTCAATTGATGTATTACCGAACATATTATGTGATTCTAGTTCCCTTTTTATTTTACAACATCTTATGGATATATGTCAATCTCATTTTTTTAGAGTAGAACAATTGTAAACATATCATTAAGTTTCTTAGGTCTGACTAAGTGTATAGTTTTTTTTTTTTGCTTAGCATTGTGTGATCCTTATTGCCATTAGATCCCTTTCATAACCCATTGGATCCATTGAGCTCATGTTGCTTTAATTATTTGAGTTATCTTAGTTGACCTAGAGTTAATCTCCCATTAATAAAGCTTCGACATTCTTCAGACCTTGCAACATAAATAAATAACTGCTATAGGATTCATGTTTTAATTTACAATTCTAGCTAAGAATTCAGCTAAAGTCACACAGAAAATACCATAGTATTGAATACTTGATAGCAGCTAATGATCTTATTAGAACAAAGTTTAAGATGAGCAGAGAAGGTAACACAAATAGCCAATCTAAATCAATTAGTAAACAAGAATTTTTTTTTTTTCAATGTAGAGAAAATCCCTCTCAAATAGAATAACAATATACAAGATGTTGTGCATTTCATCTCAATTTCACGTTGCTCAAGCGGATAGAAAAAATCCCCTCGCAAATAGAATAACTTGCGTCAATGCCCTTTGTGGAAGCTTCAAGTTAAGAAATTGACATTAGCCCAAAATGAAAACTTGAGCACAGGCTATAAATTAGCTAAGATAAGACAATATGATTATTACCTACTTCAAGCTCATATATTTACTTGTCCAGCTTAAGCAAAGCTTGAACCTGGCCACTGTTCTAACTAAATATTGTCTAGTTTTATGTAGTTGCTCACTTAATTGTTAATTAAGATCAAGATAAAATCTAGACTAACTAGATGTACGTGAGATAAGAATAATTTAGGTAAATAAAATCACCAATGAGCATAAACATTTTCTTATTTGTTCATAAAACTTGAAGTAATTCACTTAGCATATCTTTTAAAATTGGAATTCTCAAACTACCTGAAAATTAAGATAGGATTAGAATCAAATCAAACGATAGCATGATTTCCTGAGATAAGCATCCATCTTGCATGAAGTACATTGGACGTATCTATCTAAGCAGGCAGGACGGGAAAATTATGAAATGAATCATTAAATAAGCTACTAAACAATCAGAAACTAAGCATTTTATCAAACACTCATCGATCAAATTGTTGAAGTTCCAAACAAATATGTTCACTATAGATAAATAAACGTATGCTCTGCATCAAAATCAGCAATCCTTCTCATTTAAAAGGTTTGCGAAATGAAAGCAAAGAATCAATCTCTAAGGAAATTACAATAATTGCAACGAAGAGATGCATAAATTAATCCTCTGCGCTTCACTCCCTAAGACCATTTAATCTAAAATTTAAGGGCATTATGCAACCAGGGCCACACTCGCTTGGAGTTGAAGGAATCCAAGTGTTCTGAAAGCGAATGTTTACAATATTCCATTTGCATTGTTTATATACTGGAAAAATAGAGGTTTCTTCATATACTGCAAAGAAAGAAGAACATCAAGAAAAAAAAAAGAGGAAAAATTAGAAGCAGACAAATAAGTGGGAGGAAAAATAAAAGGAAACGAGAGAGATTTGAAAGGAAATAGCGAGAGAGGTGAAGACCTGAAGAAGAAAACGGGGCTAGAAGAGACTAGCTCCTTCTTATGCCTTAGGAGAGGGAGGTCGTAGAGCTCGCGGACTGGAGAAGGTTGTCCGTCGGGGTATCCCACGTCAGTCGACGCCGAAGTGAAGGAAGAGCTCCACAACAGTTTTGCGGAACCAGGCGAAGCAGACCATGCAGCCACGACGCAGGAACGTCAGAGAAAAAGGGAGAAGAGCGCAGGAATGGAGAAGAGAGCAAGGAAGAATGGAGAAGAAGGGAGAAGAAGGGAGAATATAGGTCAGCTTTGGCAAAATCATCACGCAACATCCGCCAAAGAATTTCTAACCCGCTCAATTTGAGCAGGTTTCGAAGTCGCGCGAATTGCCTCCCCTAATACCCCGCTATTGCTTCGGAGGTATTCCTTTCGTTCCACTGAAAGCCAACCAAACGACCAAAATTGAGAAACGCGCGTAAATTATATCCTTTACCCTACTAATCCTGCAAACCAAACAGCCCCTAAATTTTTTAGAATTAAGGTGAGTATTCATGATCGTGAAAAGGTTGGAGTAGCTCCAGTGGTAGATAAGATTAGAGGAGTGGGCTTAGATGATTTGGTCACATAAAACTTCGACCTTCCGATGACTCGGTTAAGAGAGTAGATGTATTAGATTTGACTTATGCTATGAAAGGTAAAGGTAGACCTAAAAATACTTTTTTTTAGAAAATTATTAGAAATTGCTTTTTTTAATTAAATTTAAATAAGAATTTGACTCTTTACGAGATACAATGGAGAAAAAGATTCATGTAGCCGATACCACAGTGGAATAAAGGCTTCATGTCATTGTTGTTGTACTCAAGTTCCTAATTTATGATAATGCTTCTTCTAAATCAAATGCATTAATCAGTATTGATATTTGTTTATCAAATGTTAACACAAATTTAGTTATGATTTATCTCTATTATGAAAAGAATGACCAGGTTGAAATGAATTACAATTTCTACAATTATTTAGTAGTTTATCACTTGTTAATTACAATTGTTAAAAAGATATGAGATTATATGAAATATATAAATGAAACATCTCATATAAAAATTCTTGCATGTGCATATTTTACTAATGGAGTTTAACGTTTTACAGCATTGGCTGAGAATGCAATATAACAATGTGCTTATGTTGAAAAAGTTTAATAAAAGAGAATGAAAAGGAAGTACCTCGATTGGTATTATATAGACGGTGGCACCTGTAATAGTAATATTATGTACAGAATAAATAGAATAAGATATGATATGATTTCTACTTATACTATTGTTATACGACTAAAAGTTTCAAAGTTTCTTATAATTTCATCTTTAAATAAAAAATAACAATCAAATGATTTTGGATTGTTTCATGCTTTAAGGCTAGCATGCGTACTATTTCAATATTTCATTATATTACTGTAATTTGGAAACATGATATATTGGCTAAGTTGTGATACATGTATATAGGTAAAATCTTAAGAAATTAAATGCATTGAAAAATAGAAAATGTATATCGTAGATGTGACACTACAAGAGAGAACCATTTAATTTTAATAGTTTTTTTTTTAGCTTAAAATGAATTTTGGAGTTTTAGTAACTCTTTTGATTTGTTAGAAGTTATTTGTTATTAGTTGAATAAAACTTAAAAAAACTCCATCCGACTTTCTGTTTTCACCCCAGTATTCCAAGCTTCCTGGCCAGGTCATGAATGAAAATTAGAATATTGAAATGGATTGTGGAATATTAGGGAATATAAATTATGGAATTATTATAGTATAGTGATGGTTAGTACTAGGTAGTATCTATCAAAGATTAGTTAATCAAAAATAAACTTAAATGATTTAGATATGTATACCGAAGAGCAAAAAATACTCATATTAGATAATTAGATAAAAGTGGTATCAAAGGAGAAGCAAGAGAATGGATAGAGCTAACCTAATATGGATAAAATTTGCTCAAAAGAATTCATAGAGAAGAGCATAAAAACCTCAAGCAGCACTCAATAAGAACAAATAAACAATGGGATCCAATTAATTGGGATAAAACAAATGTGATGGTGATTTTTTTTTAAGGAGAAGGTTTTTCTCGCCTTTAGAAGGAATAATATATGCCCGGAGAGTGAAATATGCTAAACTGGTTGATAAAAAATGAAATAGAAAAAATATAGGCCTATTGTATAAATAATAATAAAATTTTCACTTCAAGTGCCTGATGCTTGAGGATAGGCACTTGAAAAAATATTAACTTTCAAATGAATGATTTAGAAAAAGAATAAGATATCATGTGACACCTCAATAAGTATTATCATTAATTCATTAGCTCTGCATCCTCATTAAAAAGGAATATTAAACAGGTTTCTAAAAGGCATAACAATGATAAGAACGATTTTTTTTTTTTTAACTATTTAATAGTTTCTGTTTCTTAAACTATGCATGCGTTGCAACTTGAAGCAATGGAGTTAGTAATAACTTACAGTCAATTCATTTGAAACAACTTTCGAAGGAGTAGTATCAAGTAGCAGGTGAGCCGAGCCTTCATCAAGTTTACCATCTAGATCGCCCCCAAAGCCCTGAAAGAAATAAAGGAACGTATAAAATCAATGAAGATCAAATACTAACCATCATAGATCCTAATGAGAAAAGGAACTTCACCTTTAGGTGCTAATAAGAAAGCAAAAGATCCAACCACAGCAAAGTGGTTAAAAATAAAAATAACCAAAATCCAAACATCAGCACTGTTCAAAATATACACAGTAATAGCATTTGTATTAATGCATATTTCCTACAAATGTTGTTAAATTCTAAGCACACGACCACAAGGTTATGGAGTGCAAGTCACATGATGACGGATATGATTTTTAAGAAAAAATTTAGTGGTTCCATACTTTTAATTATACTGTCTGCATGCGCTGTAAGAATGTAACTAGAGGATAATTGATTTTAACCATATAGGCTTACCTGCTGAATTTAAGAGGTAAAGGTTAAAGACCTCATTCTTTTCCATGATAACGATATGTTTGTGCACATTTGACACTTTTCAGACACCAAGCTAGAAAGTTTTATGCAAAGAGCAATGTGATGTAGGACATCTTAAGCTCCAGACTTTTTAATGCGGATCAACAATACGATGCACAAAATCATGCAACATGCCAACATGCACACAAAACTTGAGGTTACAAACTCTTGGTTTTGACAATTATTCATTTCCTTTGATGAAAAATGAAAATACATAGAAAATTAAGTCAACTATTTTAATAGATTTCTATCAATAAAGTGCCTAGAAATTTAGCACAATGAAAATCATGCACTTGCAGTAACCTAGATTTTCTAGATTATTTCAAACTCTGATAACATTAACCATATATTCAACCCAATAACAATATTTAGAGAAAAAAATAAAGAAATGAGAGTCATCAAAATAAACAAAAAAACAACCCTTGTGCTGCTCATATAGGAAGATAATCTCACGCAAAAACCTTGAAGTCTCTCACTTGACCGGAGATTTAACTCCCTAAAGTAGGAATAATAAATACAATTAGAACTTTATTCAAAACACTATAATAGAATATCCTTTATACATGCCAAAGGCCACCTGCATATAAGAAATACCCCATGAAACGCAACCTTCGATTTCTTATATAACAGAAAGAATCAACCCAATATACCGTAAATTGTACAACCTACATATAAGAAATCCCCCATGAAACACCACCTTGGATTTCTTATATAACAGAAAGAATCAACCCAATACACATGTGGGATTTAAAAACCCTCACCCAGCCCTGTACACAAGAGTTGCTATCTTGCTTGATGAAAATGTTGAAATTATTTTAAGGTCAAAGGCAATTTGTTAATTTGACCAACTTGTTGGAGTCTCCATAGCAACTAAGAGATTCCACACACCCCTTGTTCAATCACAAATGGTGGCACCCTCAAGTTTGGTAATGTTTTGCGTAGTATATAATATCCTATGACTATTTTGTGGTGAATCTATTTATGCATATTTTAATTTGGGAGAAACAAAGAGGGGCTCAGTTCAACCTCGCCTATACCTAGACCCAAGTTTAAGTCATATTCCATGTTCACAATTAAAAGTTTATTAAAGTGTGTGTGGTAGACTTTCATGATGTACCTATTACTTTTTATCTTGTTATGTGTCCTTTATGTGTTATTTCAGTTCAACTTGATGGCCACACTGCAAAATCAAGATGAAGTGCTCAACATGAGATCAATGGCTAAAATATCATCATCAAGCAAGCAATAATAAAGAGCCTTGACATGAAATTCAAACTAATTATAACAAAAAATAAAGCTTGGAAATTAAAATTTTAGTCCAATATTTTAAATTTTCAATCTTTAATTTATAAGTTTCATATTGAACATTAGGAATTAATTTAATTAGGTTTAGGCTTGATTAAGATGTATTTGGACCGGCCACCCCATTTGGGGAGAGAATCTTGGAGTGTAATTAAAGTAATTCTACTTTCTTATCTGCTTCCCTATATTTGATTTTTCCCTACTATTACTTTTATTTTGAAATGAAGAACCCAATGTAATAGATTAAATAATATCAAAATAAATAAGAAAAAAATTTAGACGTTCTGACAAAAATTGAAAAGTGAAATTTCTAGGGTTAAGAGCTTGGTGGACTTAGGTATCCTTCTTCCATTTATTAATTTCTCTCCTAATCCCTCATAGCAAATTCTCCAATCTTCCTAGCATCATTCCAAAGCATTTATCCACAACCTACAAACATAAAAAATTTTGTAAACCTCTCTTGAAGCCGCCGGCGGCAACAATTACAGTTCTCCTGACCTGTTTTTCTCATCCCTCCTCTACACCTCTAACACCTTAAATCTCCACCATCTTCTCTAGATTTGCCTCCACACATTCCCCTAACATTCTATAACCTTTCCAACCCCTCACTACACCCTTAAGCTTGTCCGCTAACTCAGTATTTCAAGATTATTTAAATATATCCAAACTAGGTCATTTTGAACTAGTTTTAGTTTTTCCCATCTTTTGGCCTCTAAACCATTTGGAATTTCATCAAATCCTCTAGATCACATCTAAAGACATTACCCTAACACTTTCAAGTGGCTTCATGTCTTGAATCCTCCACCATAAGAAATTCTAGATAATCCCCAATTGGAACCTTCAAGGTGACCATGACTTAATCATTCAATCTGACTCCTTCCTTTCAATCACTACCTCAAATAAAATTATTCCAATATCCTTAGCCCCCCACCACAACAG